TCCAAACAGGCCCATCATAAACACAATTTTTAACCACCTTTTTATCTGACATACAATACATTACATCACAAAAAGTGTTATAGTAATTATTTCAAATAACCTCCTACCCAAACACACTTTTGGAAAATTCCTCATAACTACTAATATCATTTGCAGAAAGTTTTGGGATAAATCATATATTTTTATTAAATTTTAGTCAAAATTACAAACATCTCTCCCACGTACAATTCCCTCTAATTGAATGTATTCAAGTACTCCAAAGCTACTACAAAAAATTAGAATAAATTACATGCCTCCATTTGGATTAACTGTTTTTTGGGATGTTTTTGAAAAATTTTATTGTAACAGAGTTTTTAGAGTATATTTTGGGATATTTAAGAATAGTAGAGTTTTTAAAATATATTTTGATTTTTTTAAAACATAAAAAAAAACTTAAACTATTTTTTAGAGTACCTTTTAAAATACTTTTTAAAAATTTTTATAGTATTTGAAAACTAATTTTTTAAAAACTAATAAATCCAAACAGATTCACTCGAGTTTTTGAAATCACCGCAAAGATTGTGTTTGGATAAAGTACTATTAAAATAATTATTATACCACTTTTTGTAATGTAATGTATGTGAAATAAAAAGATAATTAAAAATATAAAAAAAATAGATTGAAAAATATGATTATAATGCTAGATATGACGAGAATGATATATTCCGTTCCATCCAAAACATTTGTAAAAGCAATCATACATTGAATAACAAATATCAAACAAATAATTTGAGCCCTGATGATTGCTGCGCCCAAGGCGATAGTAGGAAAAATACGAATTATTATATTAGTGAGGATACAGTAACTTAAGCAAAATAGACACACAAAAAAAAAAAAAGGATCATTTGAAAATGATGAAGTGCGCTATTTAACCTGATTGAAGAATCATACATTCGTGAAGTATTGTCTTAACCCTTATGGGGCCCCGTTCTCTATCTCTCGGTTTGGTTGGACGCATTATCCCAATTGTCATGATCAGAAATTTTTTTTCCCCAATTGTCATGACTAGATGACTCTTCAATTTAACAAAAATGCGATGGTCTTACGTTTGACTAAACTGCTTCCTTATCACCGCAAAGAGAGAGATGTAAAAGTTTATGAGCTTGATTATTTTAATTAATTATATATTCTAATTCTGAATAATCAATTTTTATTATGATATCTGTTACTTTTGTAGTCTGACTATAGATTTTTAATGATAAAAAAAATTTAAAAGCAATAATCACTCAAACAATAACTTTTATAATTAAGATTATTTTTTACAATTAGTTTCTATAATTGTCTAAAACAATCAAGAACAAGACCTATGTAGTAAGGCTCGTTAGTCTTATAAAAGAATCCCAAAAGATTGGTCATCCACATTGCTCTCTCTAAAGCTGATTAGTGATGAATTGAAAAATTGTTGGCAAAACTTTTATGATTTGTATATTGAAATTGAAAAAAGTTTGGGAACTAATTTGATTAAGTCGAAGATTTGCGTTATATGTATCGTTGAAACTTGAAACAAGGAAGTAGTTATATGATTATATCTTCGGACGATTTTCAGCAACCCTTGCAATAAAATGCATTTTTTCCTTTTGTCAAAAAAAACAAAGTACATATAGAATTATACTCGGTAATTGATTACACGAAAATATCATCAGATGCAGGAAAAAATAAAAATAAAATACCCAAAAAGATTTTGTCAAAAGAAGCCAGGTGGAAAGAGGACCATTCAGGCACAGTTGAGTTGAATGTTCTTACGGTCAACAAATGTGGCGGCGCCAACTGGAAATGCACTGGAAAATCAAATGGTTTTTATTTTTTCTAACCAAAGAACTAGGGATTATTTATTTACCCAAAAATAAATAAAAAATCAAGAGCTTCTTGCATGCATGGTTGAATCAATTATTCCCGTCATGGAAAAAACAGATAAACGACGGTGACCCGAGCATTAAATAATTCTAAGAATATTAGTAAAAGAATTAGAGAGGATTAGACCTGTATGGTTAGATTTGACTTGTGGGTTTACTTCAGCATCACTCAATTAGTAATCATATAAATTAGTTTACTATGGTAGATTAACTTAAAACGTGGCAGATTTTGTCATTCCTCATTATTATTTTATTTCTTAAAACTTCTCACAGTCACAGGCAACGACGAGGACTTTATTCCATCACCGGCGTATTAGTACTATATTATTATGGAGTCTGAAGAAAACGACATATAAAACTTGTTTTATGGAACGGCTCATTATCAAGAAAGCACAAGCTGTTGATTCTATCTAGTTTATTTATTTTTTGACTAATTCAATTATTTTCTTGGGCTTTTTAATTAGAATAAATATTCATGGTCCCATTGATAAGTGTATGCGCAGCCCACAACTCGCAATCTTGCACAAGATTTAGAACTAAATAAATAGTAAATAAATAAAGAGCCACATGAATTACCCAAAAAAAAAAAAAAAAAAAAGAAGATGAAGAAATCGTGGAGTCTATCCAAGCCCGCTCAATTGCTGATAGATCTAAACCCCAGGCGTGTCATTCTAATTAGGTGATTTTTAGAAAATAAAATAAAATAGGGCAAAGTTGCTGGTAGAATGGAAATTATCAATTTGAAACATTTTCTTAAATTACCGTCAAGTCTAATCAGCATCATCTAGTACATTTGTCTCTTTCTAGCATTTTCTTCCAAATCAAAAGATTTTACCCAAAAATAAAAAAAAGGGAAAGAATTGTAGAAATTTTGTCATTCAGATGTAATAACCTTTTTTTTCAAATAAATAAAACAAAAGAATCTATTTCTCAAAAGAGAAAATTAACATTTTATCTTACCAAAATTCGAAAGCGTGCTGACTCATCTGTCCCCCAAGCCTAGCTCATGTGAGCTCTCAAACTCGAGATTATCTTGTTTTTTTAGAGCCAAAAGTCAATCATTGTAAATAAAAAAAAAATTCTATTTTTGTTAGTCACACTTCATTATTACTTTAATCATATAGTTTTTATTGATTAAATTATATGATAAACAAATGGCGTGGATGCAAATAACATTTTTTCAAAATAAATTATCACTAACTAATTGATGTTGCGTTTGCTGTACTAAATAATTATATTACTTAAGGATTGCTTCCAAGGCACTTCTTAAAATAGTTAAATTATATTTAATCTATCATGTGATTCACATTTTATCGTCCTCTGCTTCTAATATTTTTCTAAATTAGTTTCACTTTTATATATATAAAAAAATCTGAAACCATATATGTTAATAACAAATTCATAAACAATTCGTCACCAGTATTGATAACGTAATATCTTTACCATTTTTTTTTTTTTTGAGGTCAAGTTGATTCCTAGATAATTTCAAAGTTCATATACATATGTGTACAAGCTCGAACATGTCACGAATTCATAAGTTGCGTGTATTTGTGAAATAAAGGAAAAGAAGATCAAAGCTCTTTTAAGTATTTTTATATTAAAGTAATTATCCAATTTTGATTGCAATTATCCAACTATATTTTGGCTTGTATTCCTAGTAAGTATATGAAAATTGAAAAGTAGAATGCATGATAGTGAATACAAAAGCTAGGTCCTACACTAACAATGAGTAACAGTGACACTGATCCAAAAATCAAAGCACCAATCATAATCATTTTTGTTTATTCCAGAAATTTTTTTTTTCCCTTGCGCGTTCAACTCCATGCTCTCCTTTTTCTTCGTCCTGTGACTTGCCCACTCCATTACTACTAACTAATCGATCTCATAAACTTTTTTCTGATCCCATCGACGATCCTACTGAAACCGAATCACTGATTCACTACATTATCTTCGGAAACGCTTCTGCAAGAATCGTGGGCAAGATAAACACTGTGCTAATCCCTACTACATGGGATGGCTCAGCATCACAACCACAGCCACCACACCACCACTCAGCCGCCGCAGATGGCGCAGTTTCTCAGCGAGTCAATAGCCCTCGATTCTCCGGTCCAATGACTCGCAGAGCCACCTCTTTCAAACGTCAAAATAACAACAATAACAACAGGGACAATGGTAGCGACCACAGCTCCCAAACCAAAGACAACAATAGTAATAGCTCTCACGAGATTAATGTTCAGCTGAACTCGCCCAGATCTGAAAACTACTCGAATGCGAACTCTGGAGATGGGTTCGATTCTTCGGTGGAAAAGAGGCAGACCCGTTTGGGGAATTTGACTCAAAGAGTGCATTCGAAGAGAAAGATTGGATCTTTTGGTATGGACTTTGGTTGGGATTGGAGTTGAAGGGGAAGGTGAAGTGGGGGCAGTGGATGTTTTTTGTTTTGCGGGCTTTGTTTGTTTCTGGGAATTTTGAAATTTTGTGTCAGTGGTTGGTTTGGATCTGCAATTGACAGAGTTGGGTCCAATCAGGTTGGTTCATTTCGCTTGAACTAAATCCATTTCTTGTATGGATCATTGGCATCGGATTCGTGGATTTATGATGTATATAATTTTTTGGTTTTTCTTTGTGCTCTTACCAAGCTTTTTTACTTCGTAGTAGTGGAATAATTAAATACTACTGCTTTTTAGATGATGGTGTTAAGAGTAAGCTAAGAATTTACTGGTTGCGTGATTAGGAAGGTCTTCGTTTACTTGCATACGTAAAAAGAATGACAGATTAGTTATGTCAATTTCTTTTCCTACTGAAGTTAGGTTGGTTATATTGTAGCGTGGCACTCTTCGGTTTCTTATTTTAAGTAGTCTATTGCATAATAGGGTCCATTGATTTTAGGTTTGCTAATGCATCTGACGGAGAATGCGAGTTCCTGTTTTCTCATACCCGGTTCATGTGTTCTAGCATATATGTTGTGCACTGCCTTTATTATAGAAATAACAGTGGTACGGTGGTTTAATGGCTCTAACTTCCTTTTTAGGATTTCTATGACAATCCAGACACTGCTTATAATGTGAGAGATGAAGGGGCTCATGACTATGGATATCAAACAGAGCTAATGAAAATGCAGGCAGAGAAAATGATAATGACCGGACTCTAATGACGGTACCTAGAATGGCTGATGTGAGCACCAAATCTTGTTTGACCAATTTTATTTTTGCATAATCTTCTCGTATCATTTCTGAGTGAAAATTATTCAGCATTCAGGTATATGGGCCAAGCCAGATAGTGAGAATTATATTCAGTGCATTGATCAGTCAAAACACAAAAGTATAGCTCTATGGCTTTCTCTTGAATTTGATTTTGTTCTGATGTTGCACATACTCCATTTGTTCTTTACTATCTTGCTTTTCTGATTCATGAACAGAGTTGGACGAAAAGACGAATGGTTACCTTCTGATAAACGCAAATGGTGGCTTAAATCAGATGAGATTTGGGGTCTGGTTCTTATTCAATGATTGTATGACTTTTGCTGAAGAACATAATGAACTAATCTGATAAACAAGTATTTCTAGAGTGCAGATCTGTGACATGGTTGCTGTTGCTAAAGTCATGAAGGCAACTCTTGTTCTTCCCTCCCTCGATCACACTTCTTACTGGGCTGACGAGAGGTACCTTCAATCATCCTCCACTCATTCAGTGTATAAGATAGCACAAATAATGCATTTAACCAGTTGCAAATGCTGTATTTGATTTGTGTTTCTTAGTAATCAAATTCTTTTAGCATCATCCTGTTACTCACAAGGTATGTCTGCCTGATATACTTGTTAACGAACAGTAGATGAGACATAAAACTGGTTTTCATGTAAAATTATTACACCTTGACCACCTTAAAATAGTATACAAGGAAAGATAGCAAAATATATTTCAGCTTTAAGAAGTGTACATCTCTATGATACAAGAGCTTCAAAATATGTCCATTGCATTGGTTCAACATGTACCATACATTAATAGCACTTAAATGCCTTAATGGAAGATCAACAGTTGCTAACAACTTCCTATGATTTGCTTTTCTTGTCTTTGTGCAGTGGCTTTAAAGATCTATTTGACTGGGAACACTTTATTCAGACATTGAAAGATGATATTCACATAGTTGAGGCACTACCACCTGAATATGCTGGAATTGAACCGTTCAACAAAACACCCATTTCCTGGTCTAAGGTAGTCCTTGTGAACCTTTTCCACCTCTAGCAACAAGCATGCCTGCTGTAATGCCTAAGATTTTATTGTAGCATGCTTGTAAACTTGTAGGTCCCATATACGGTTTAATACTATAGCTCAAAGTATATTGGAAAACTTTGTTCCGCACATGTTTTGCCATGTATTGATGGCTTTTTTGTGTTTTCTATTTATCTTATGCTCAAAACTTTCCTTGTTCAGGTCAGCTATTACAAGTCAGAAGTTGCCCCACTTCTGAAGCAGCATAAAGTGATCTACTTTACTCATACCGATTCCCGGCTTGCCAACAATGGTCTTCCAAACTCCATACAAAAGCTAAGATGCCGTGTGAATTATAGAGCTTTGAAGTACTCAACCCAAATTGAAGAATTAGGGAAAACTTTCGTGTCAAGAATACGATACAATGGAAGTCCTTACCTTGCTCTCCACTTGAGGTTTGTCATGGTGGTCACAAATGACTTGTGGGAATTTGATGCTCTAAGACTTGCTTGCTGTTTTGAAGTTTGAGATCCAGACATTGAACTTTTGGAGTGTAGTTATCGTACAGTCTACTAAACTCTAGCTGCGGTAACCTTTATATGCCAGTTCAAGAAACTTGAATGATTATATTCCTCTCATTTGGTTAGGAAACTTGAAGGGTTTTATTCCTCTCTTTTTGCTTAGGAACTTGAATGATTTTATATTCCTCTAATTCGTTTTGCATTTCAACAGAAATTGAATGTAAAACTTTGATATTGTTCTTCAAATGATTTGACAATTTAACAAATCCTTTTGCACATTTGATACTGGTTTTTGTGGGCTTGGAAGAAAGATGCTGATATGATGGTCCAAATGAGAAAACAAAAATACTAGTATGCCAACACCAATACCTTTGATTGTTTTAGATCATTTCGCTTTTATTCTGAATGGCATCTGGTGCTCTAGTTGAATTCCTTAGTGACTTGTTATAGATTTTAATTCCCATACTACATGTTAACCGTTATCTGTTGTTGTGTCAGATATGAGAAGGATATGCTGGCTTTCACAGGATGCAGTCACAATTTGACAGCAGAAGAAGATGAGGAACTTCGTAAGATGCGATACGAGGTGAGCCATTGGAAGGAAAAAGAGATCGATGCAGTAGAGAGAAGAAAGGTTGGTGGATGCCCTTTGACACCCAGGGAGACGGCCCTTTTGCTTCAGGGGCTAGGATATCCATCCAACACTAGGATTTACTTGGTTGCTGGTGAAGCTTATGGAAATGGGAGTATGCAATATCTCACGGAGAGCTTCCCAAATATCTTCTCCCATTTGACTTTATCATCTGAGGAAGAACTAAATCCTTTCAGAAATCACCAGAATATGTTAGCTGGGTTGGACTATGTAGTTGCTCTTGAGAGTGATGTTTTTGTATACACCTATGATGGTAATATGGCAAAAGCAGTACAAGGTCATCGGCGCTTTGAGGATTTCAAGAAAACTGTCAATCCAGACAGGTAATGATTCTAGGTGCAGAGCCTTCTCAGAATTTTGTTAGGAACAGAATGGGTTTCTTATGGCACTTGAGGTTGGATTCATCTTATGTATGATGTGCAATTGTTATTGCACTTGGCATAAATCCAAAATTGCCTGGTGTTAAAATGCCTCATGCTGATTGGATATAAATTATGTCGACTTACTATAATTAGTTATGCTAAACTAATGCCTTCTGATTTTCCGGATGCAGGATGAAATTTGTAAAGTTAGTTGATGATCTTGATGAAGGGGTAATGTCCTGGAAAAAATTCAGTTCTAAGGTAAAAAAACTTCACAAGGATCGCATTGGAGCCCCCTATCCAAGGGAGCCTGGCGAATTCCCAAAGCTAGAAGAGAGCTTTTATGCAAATCCGCTTCCTGGCTGTATTTGTGAAAAAAGCCGAAAGATAGAAGAGGTTCGACTCAACAGGTTTTGCTGATTAGTTTCTGTATGAACACTTCAAAGGGCTGTTGCCAGAGACTGATACAACGCTCCTTAAGGGTGAATGGCTTAAAGATTTGTTTGAAGTTCATTTAGCCAACATTTCAAGTGCAAACTGGATCAGTGATGACTTGCGCTCCTCAAGTTCAGCTAAATTTGGCAGCTCATCGCACAGTTCTGAAGCATACTCTTCACCACACAATACTTGCACATTACATTAATTACACATCCTGCAGCGGATGACTTTTGGTAATTGATATGTAAGTTGCTGACTTCCATGTACCAAGTACAGACACTTGCATGAATTGGGAAAATGGAAAACTCATACAACTTATTTTACTATCGCTGCTGGATGCAGAATATGCAATTGATTGATACTACAACTGTTCCTGAATTTCGTTCTTCGAGTAAATTCCATCTTCTTAACTTGTTATGTTTGTATCACGCAAGAGAACTCGATCAGGAACACTTAAAATCTGCTGCTTGGAGCTCATAAAATTTTACTTGAAACAATTTGTAGAACAATTTTTCTTTGTTATTATCTTTTCTTATTTTTTTTCCCTAAAAGGTAAAAGCATGAGGATATTTTGGTCGTTTAGAAAAATCTTTCTGCTCTCTCCATCTGCTGTGAATGAAAAGGGGTTGTTTATAATTTGGTCATGCCTCGGGGGTTGATTAGTAATATAAGATAAACTTTAGAGGACCGTATCTTCAAATTGCTATTGGACTAAACTAATCGCTTTGGCAAATTTTAAGCCTGGTTTGCAAAATTTAGGCAAGAAAAGAAGGAAGATTAAGTACAAGTTGGGCAACAAAAGAAGAGAACTTGTTAGGTCCTCCTGTGCTACGTTTGGGAGTTTTGAGTACGAAAGGATGAAAGAAGATATGTGACTTTTACAAGTTCGTCCTTCTATATAAGTATTTTAATGTGTATTTGATGGGCAAAAGGGACATTGCAAATGGTCTTGGTTAAGGTAAAAAAATGCTAAGGGTGCAAAATCGAATAGTTGAGAACATTAGGGGCGCAAAAGGAAAACAAGAAAGGCCTAGCATGAAGAAGAGCACAGCGTGAATATACTTGCATAAAAATCAAATGTACTCCTTCAATCCCGAATTCATTTACGACAACATCACATTTAATTTCATTTCCAGAACAGGCAGATTTCGGCATGAGAGTTTCAGATTGACAACAAGAGGAAATACGAGAAAAGCCATCATTAGGACAGCTGAAATACCACCGGAGACTGAACTGCGGATAACTACTCCACTAACTCATTCTCATTATTTAGAGACTTCAATCCTGACCTTAAAACAAAAGTACTTGAACTGCAAAACAGAGGAGCAACATAAAATGGATCACAGCTTTGTGAAAGAACGAACTAATTGACTGACTCCAAATTCCGTCTAAACAACTTCACGGTAATCTAATTGGTGCCACCAAGGATTGCTTTGAGCTTCTTGATTTGTGGAATGTCAAGGAAAGTGGTTTTGGCAACAATTTCAGTTGGCAAATCATTCTTGAAGAATGCATAGTCAGTGACTTGAAGACCAGGGTTAGGACTACTAAAGCTAGCAAAAGCTAGAGCAGGACTCTTCCCGGAATTAAACTGGAAATGCAGCAACCCTCGTGGGAATACCATCACATCTCCTTTTACAAGAGTTTTGAAATAGACTTTATTCTCCAATGAAGAAATGAAGCCAGCACAGAGCTGCCCCTGTATGACAACAAGGATTTCAGATCCTCCAGGGTGCGTGTGAAATGGGATAACACCACCCACAGCGAAATCCAGACGGGCAATTGAAATGCCAAGACCATTCACACCAGGGAACGTGGGTGGAAAAGCAGGGGTTACTGCCGCAGAAATGATGTTAGAAGTGTTGCCAGGCTGCTAAGCTGAAAATAAAATCATCAACTGTGACTTCAGCAGTGTTCTTGCAAGAGTAACCTGCAGGTCCAACAGGCAATGAAGGATCCGCTACGCAGAAGTCTAAAGCTTGAGTTGAGGCAACAAGGAGTGAAAAGATAAAGAGGGCTTGTATCAACATTTCTGCTAGCTATTGAGTTTAACAAGAGAGGAATGTGGATATGTGATTAAGTGGTGGAGAATTGTGATGTTGAGAATGTATGCTGAATTTATAAGACTGTGATGGCATGGATATTTCTGGACCATTGGGGATATGCCTTGAAGCATTTCACATGCATGCAAAATTTGACGAAAGAAAGGACATATTATGGGTTGTCATGCATGTGATTGAGTACGTTCTCAATCGACAAATACAAATTGTCCCTTTTTGTTTGGAATTGGCTAGGATTGAGAAGCATATTCTGTAAATGCAAAAAGAATCCAAGGGAAGAAAATGAGCTAGATTGCTCTTTATAAGGTTCCAAATGGACTAGGAGTTTCTACTTGTGGCATAATTATAGTAATTTAACAGCAGTCTTTTGGCATAATAGGCTTCCTTATAACAGTGAAATCAAGGAGATTAATGCACGCCGATGTAGATTAACGATGATTTATAGATGGCCGTTATTTTATTTCCAACAGTAGAAGTGTCTTCATTTTGGTTTATAGATGGCCGTGCACCTAAGAAACGCTACAGAGAATGCAATTATGATGATTGTAGTCCTTGCTCCTTACTAGCAAAGGCATTGGGCACTATGTCAGTAGTTGTTACTTTAGTTTGTGATCAATTCATTTGACAGAAACAGATTTTTCTCTGTAGTTCTTGGCAAACTGCCCCTTAAATGATCTCTTTTTGCGGTTTTGGACAAAAGATGGTGATAGTTTGGTCAGCTAACACATACTTGCAAAATATTCTGATTGGAAATTATTAGTCTCAGGCACATGAGAAAATGTCTTATGAACCAAACAGTACACAGTTTCTATCAAATTTTGAAGGACTCTCCATCAAAATGAGAGTTTAAAGATGAAAAAAATCTTGCACTGTGGTCCATGATCACCCAAGGTAGAAGAAGACATTTGACAGCCAAAAGTGAGTTTTTGCAGGCCCGTCTTGTCATTTCATATTAAGTTAGCCAACAGCCGTGTATAAATGTATGGACCTGGTAACTTCCCTATCCTTTGCGGCATTGTTGAGGATGATTAGACACCCCCAAAGGATAAGGTTTCTGCTTGTAAAATCGCGTCGGCAGAAGACAGACACTTTTCACCTTAACGGAAGAAAAAGTTGACTACGAACACAATTGAGTGAATTTTATAACACAGGAGTGAAGTGATGGTTAAGGAATTATAGCAACATAAGTGCCAGTAGACAATTACTGCAATTTTGAGAATCAGGCTCTTTTCCATGGAAATTGAAGCGATAAGGAATCACCAAAATTACGATCCAGTGATAAATTACTTCTGCAGTTGAATATTACTTTTACATGAATAAATGTTTGCAGAGAATCATCGGATTCAGCATCCTTGAAGAATTCATCAAAGCTTCATGGGTAGAAAGATGGAACACCATAGAGGCCAGGGTATTCTCCTTAAATTAATAATGCAAAAGCTCTGATATGCAAGCTAGCATGATAGCTTTGCTACATTGGAAGCAAAGGACAAGTTTCATTAAGAATCATCATGACATTGTAGAAAGCAAACAAAAAATCTTTGGCATTGAGGATTTCGAATCATCTGGACGTGCTATTCCTAAAAGTTTGAACTTCTTTCACGTATTGCCAACATGCTAGATAGACTGGCAAAAGAAAACCCCAAGAAACTGACAATTTCTCATTCGAATTCTGTCACGAAGACTAGAATACAGAGATCTAACCAGAATGAGCCCCACAAACCGTTCGTGATGATGGATACCAGGTAAATTCTTAATAAGTAGAAACATTGTTGAGCATTTTTATTTCTTGTTCATTCCATTGTAACCGTGGTTACAAACATGGTTCGAAGTCTCGGCCGAGTCGTCACCGTCTCGGCCCCTACCGATACGATATCATGACGAAACGATACCGAGATACTTGACTCGCCGAGAAATCGGCCGAGACGTCACCGCGACGGATTGACTCGGCCGAGTCACACCGAGTCACTCCGAGTTATCCCGAGTCAAGACGAGAAATCAACCGAGTTACACCGCAACGGATTGACTCGGCCATTTCTTTTGCTATTTTTTATTATTTTTGTTTAGCATACTTTTTTTATATTATTAACAATTTTTAGAATATTAAATACTTTAAAATTTGCGTCTCACTGAGACCGCGACCGATATGCTGAGACCGATGTGGAACGTTCCGGGCCGCGACCGCGACTTTGAACCATGATTGCCATACTGTCAGCACATCAGACCTTACCATGAATATAAGGAAGCATCAATTGGATCTAATCCTATTATTAAAAGTGAACCATTCATCCTCCTTAATGAGATAATGTATAATCTGAAGGTAAAAAGAATAGCATTGCTAAAAAACGCGAGTGAAGATTGCAACTTGCAAGCTATGTCTTTGACAAACCGGGGCAGGATGGAGAAAAAGAACAAGAAAACAAGGATTAGGGTCATTTTCTCATCTTATATATCACCACTTTATTCGCCTAGTCTAGGATTAGGGTCTTTCTAAACAGCCCAAATCTTATTCTGACGAGTAAAATCTTTATTGTATGTGCAGCAGAAGAGGCTAACTAAATATCACCGAGAATTTAACAAGAGAACCATCTTACGAGAAGTATATACATTTGCATTGACCTATGCTGCTGAAAAAAATTAGTATGTCGTCATTTTTTTATGTTTCTATCTTTAAGAATGCATTTTCGCATGGATCAACATTTTGCTTCCAGAATTTGCATGTTTATATGATAATATCTTGGTTCAATGATGGTATATAATAATTCTGTAATATATCCTTTTTCTTAACTAGTTAAATTGGTTCTCTCCAGAATAACCCAAATTCTCTTTCGAAATCCTTTGTTCAGTATGTATTTATAACTGGTATAATTATAGCATCAATTTGTTATCCATTTCCTTCCTGTTTATAAAAGAGAAGAAAAAAAG